TTTGACTCTACTCAAAGACTATAAATACGGTTTCAATCAGTTTCTTCTCTGCAAACAAAGTAAACACTCTGGCTTTGCTTTAATTGCACGCTGAAGATGATGGAATCTGTAAAAGCTTCTTAAAGAAAGAGAGTATTAGGTTCATTTGCAAAAGCAGTAGTTACTTTTGTTATGGAAAAGGGAGCTTCGAAGTCTTTGTGCTGTAAGAGCATCACCCTGAGTTTGATTTTATTGTGCTAACTGGAAATTGGTAAAACCAGTATGAAATGAACGTTAACCCCGAATGAAAAATGGTAGGGCTGGTTTTTTTCGGACCGAATGAATCACTTTGAAATCTTACGTCCTGGAAAAATTAAATCATGAGTCACAGTTTCTTGGCTGAAGATGCATCTCTTTGGATTGAATGTGTCAGCAATGCAGCTTGTAGGTGTCTCAGCTTCCCAGGGATTAAGCACACTCACCCTGTGGATCAGGTCGTACTGATCTAGGGAGAAGTGCAGAGGTGGAACTTGCACGTGCATCTTGTTGAAGTCGGAAAAAGGGGCAAGAGCTGAGGGACAGTGACTTGTCAGCTTTGCGGAGCTGTGGGCAGAGCTCATCCTTCTCCTGCCTGGATGGACAAGGCTGAGGTTGTCCCATGGTGCTGGTGTTGCCCCTGCTTATCTCATGTGGTTGCTGAGGTGCTGTGCTGGCATTGCCTCTGATCCTCTGCAGCTACTTAGCTAATTTCTAATTAACTGTTTAACTCATACTAATTAGTCGTTAGTATCAGCTCAGCAGCCTTAACTCCTGCCTGTCTTTCCTGATAAAACTCGAGGCTGAGCCAGAGAAATCCTGAAGTGCAGGCAGGCAGTCGCCCGTCTGTGTCCACCTCCAACACCATGTGCTAAATCCTCTTTCCTCAATGTCTGCAAGTATCCTGTAGAGATTTTGTCTTTGTCTGCAATTACAGACCTTCCAGAGGATTTCTCGCTGTCTCTTGACCTGCTGGTTTCCCACACCATCTCTCCCTGTGCCATAATCCTCTCTGCTTGGGCCTTCTTCTAGAATGGGATCTACTGCACCCTTTCAGCCTCCCTGTCTCACCTTCCTGTGGTCCAGCATCTCTATAGTGGGATTGGTCTTCTTCCATAGCTTCCAGCCTTATCTCTTGCTTCTTCTACCAAATGAGACCTATGTGTTTGAATGTCAGTGCATTTCTGCCACCTTTTTGTCCTGTTGCCATTTCCTTCCCAGGAAGACATTTTTTAAGATTTCTTGGTTTCATAGATAGAGGGAATGTGGATATGGTCATGTCTCTTTGTAAGCACATGCCACCAGAAGTGTCCAAGAGCCTATTTCCAAACCTAAGATGGAGTGAAACACGTTCCCTAGGGATTAACCTGCACTCTCGCCTGGTGACATGACTTTACTGTGCCTAATGAAAGGTCAAGAAACCCAAGAAAGATGTAGCCCAAGTGAAAGAGGCAGTTGGACATGCTGTATCTCCAGTTGCAGTCTGACCCCAAAGCGATGGTTTTATTTAGAGGTCAGTGGTCAGCTCCTTCTTCCTCCCTCATCAAGCCATCACCAGTCTCCTAGATGGAAACTGTGGTTTACAGCTGAAACCCAGCACCTCTTCTGCCCAGGAGGCTTGGGGTGAGCCTCTGTGTTTGGTCTGCATGAAAAGTGGGCATTTGGCAGCTATTATGAGCATGTGCTATTATGAGCACGATCATCCCTTTGAGACTCGCTTCCCGGTGTTGCCCAAGCACCAGCTGGGTGGCTCTTGGACTGCTTGTAGGGAGCCATGTTGATGTAGAGCACCATAGACTGTGGGATGGGAGAAACCATTTCCTCCACCTCTAGTTTTCCTGTGAGCTCCACATGTGCTTTTCATGTTTTTACCCAGCTTCAGTTCTACTTAACTCCAGTGCCTTCTTTGGGTGGTGGTGATAGTCCTACCATTGCTTTCTTCTTTACTTGAGCACCCATTCTCTTTGGCTTGGAGAGAGATCCTCTCCCGTGACATCCATAGCCTTGGGTGCCAGGTGTGACTCTCTGCATTCTTCTGGTGAAGGTGTGAGCAGAACAAAATGATTATCTAACAGCAGGAGGATGCCACCTTAGTGCCACTGCTGAGATTGGCTGATGTGTCCAGTGACTGGAGCTTTTGGTGGGTCCTAGAAGACCCAATGGCCAAGGAGCCCAGCTCACTTCTCCCTCTGGTTCAGGCCAGGGCCTGCTCTTTGTTGATTCATGGCCTTAAATTTTAATAAACCCCACAAAGATTATAAAACGTTCCTTTGAGACGCAGGTTTTTGAATCCCCAACAAGTGGACTGAGAAACGGCAACAACCCTTTGTGCTGAGCCATATGACGAAGTTTAAAAAGGCAGAATTTTAGAGCATTAGATCATCATAAGTGTTTTATTCCGTCCCATTTATGAAATTGTTGAGTATAAAGAGAACATAGTGCAATTTTTCAAGTGCAGTTGGCACAAAAAGATGAATTCATTAGCCCCAGCCCAGACAGATTTTTTTTTAATCTAAAAATAATGATATAAAGAGGTTTTATTCAGTATATGATTAAATCGTATCCAGGATGTTTCTAAGTACTGAATCTATAATGACCACCTACTGCCTTTTTCACTGGGAGTGCATCCCACTGTTATTACCATTAACAATAATAATGTAGACGTGGAAGACACGCGGGCAACACTTTAATTTTTAAGAATTGGTGAAATGTGTTCTTTCTTTGAGTATTCTTTGGACCAGTACTTATAAAACACACTTATATTTGACTTATGTGACTTGTCGCACTGAAGCTATCGGTAGAGCAGAATTTAGTTCAAAAGCACCAGATAACCCATAATTTTGTAAAAGCATCGATTTTTTATATTTACCCAATGCATCTTAGTATCAGGAAGTAGTCTCGTTACACGGAGGAGAGCCACAGGCGTTGCTTGTTTAGGGAAGGAAGTGAAAAAAGAGAAGAAAATTAAGCTAGAATTAATAATGCAAAACTAAGCAATGGCTCCATAACTGTGTCTGGACTCAGGTTGAGTGGCAACAGATGAGAACTGCAACTTTATTCAACAAATGAGGGCTAAAGTTCCTTCATGTGCAGCTCCCCTGGGCAAGGGGATTGGGTCTGCAAGGTGCTGAGTGCCTGGGCTCCTGTCCAACAAAGCTTATTTTCAAGCTATAAACCCAAACCAACTTGGGTGCCTTAATGCTGAGGCTGAGCTCAAATGCTCTGCTGCAATCTGGCCCAGAGTCGCAAGTCTTTGCTGGATTAAGACTTTTGAGAATAGCCGGCTTTGTGTTAAGTGAATCTGAAAACAGATCGTTTGCTGGCGATAACAAATGCGCTCATTGCGGATGCTAAGTTTTAGCTGCCTGAGCTCCTCTTTATGGGTAACTCATTGCTGCTAGTGGGAGTTGTGTACGTGAATCAGAGAGAAGGACAAACCCTTAAGGTTTAAAAACTGAAGCAGTGCCAAGCTCCAGGAATGACATATGTGAAGAGCACTCGGTGAGAGAAACAGCAATCGGATAGTTTAGCAGAGAACTGCAATTCTGAAATCTCGCACCATTTTATTGAAAATATATTTTTATAATAATGCTTTTTATTTTTCCATGTATTATTAAACTTCCTTAAAGATTAACGCAATCTGTTGTCAAATTTTTCTCATGTGGCCTGATTGCTTTGCAAAATACCGTATCCTACATATGGCCATCTGTCAAAACAGCAGTGACAAAATGAATTAATCTGAATTGCAGATGTGTTAATGAATCCCTTTGAAGGGCTTAAGCATTTAATTAAAAGTAAAGCAGAACAAGGTAGATAATTTTTAAAGCTTTTAAAAATATTCTAAGTTATCATTAATATTTGAATTTTGTTTTCAGGCACATAATTTATTTGGTAGGATTTTCTCTCCCCAGATCTAATTAAAATAATACAAACAAGTCTTGACTTCAATGTGGAGCATTTACTCACTAGCAATCGCATAGAAATAAAAATATTTGCACAAAGATACCAAACATTAGGTACTTTCTCCCTAAAATAGAAAAGAAAAATACTTTCAGGGACTTGGAGCCACCTTGTGATTAGGCTGACTTTAAAGATGATAGATAGCCAACACCCTTGGTAGGGTTATGTCCTTTTTCATGTTAGAAGGAGACAAAACAGCTGCGGTTGTACGTTTGGGCACACAGATGTGCCCTAGGAGAATGTCTTTGCGAAAAAAAGAACCGTGGTAGTTGCAGCAAGTTGGGTCTTGGACAGGTTTTGCTGGTGTTTGTCTGGCACCAGCCTGGTGGTCCATGGCTCAGTCGAGGCATCATCATCACGCCTTGCCCAAACCCCTGTGGCAGAACTTGGTCATCTTGTCAAGGAGACATCGAAACCACCTTTCAAAAACTTCCTATGCCACCAGAAGGACTGATTAAAAGGAAAAGGCAGAAAACCTGTAATTCTCTTGTGGCAGGACAGTTTAGAAAACAGGGCTTTCCTGCAAGTACAGAATCTCATTATGTTTGTGGCTAAATCACAGGACTTTTCAACATTGAAACTCTCCGTCAGCTTCAGTGAGACTATTCACTCTTAATTTCAGACTTGTCCTTACGTACTTTGCTAAATCTGGGCCCTGAATTTTTTTTACTTTGCCAAGCTATTAGTCACTGAAAGTGCTTCTGCCTCAAATGAGCTAGTTGCTAAAGCAAGCTTGTACTGATTGTTTTTGAATCCATCTTTTGTTGAAACTGGTATCACACTGAGCAGAATTTTTATAGATTACGTGTAAGATAACTGTTACAGTTTGTGTAAGAAAGTTTGATTAAAATGACCTCTAATTAAGCACTGTGTTCATTGTTCATCACCATGTATTTAGGACTTCTTTCAATGTTAGGAAAAGATATTTCCATTTGGAAGATTCACTGTGTCATGATGGTGGACTTTTTTTTTGTAGAAAAGTGGTTTTAAAGTGTTCTCTTAAGAGATTCTTCCTCTGAGGAGAAAAAAAGAGTTCTTCAAATATACCTGCATGCATGTGCATAAATATAGAAATTCATATGTATCTTGTATTATATATCCATATGTACACTGGCATGTGCAAATAGATGTAGAAGTTAGTATGTCATAATCCATAGTAGCTATAACCTTAGCAATTTATGCATGAAAGCCTAACATGATCCATACAGTCAAAATTAATTAAATGAACTAACAAGAAAGCAGATACATTAAGCTTTGCAAAATTGTAAAATTAATATTACAGCTATGTCACCTTCGCCTGCAACTGGACTGAGCAAGGGTGAGAGAGAGAGAGAAATCAATTCCACGAGTTTTGGAGAATGTAAGACTGTGCCGAGAATGTATCTGTGTCTTGTGCTGTCTTGTTCTGGGGCGGGGACTCTTCATCACCAAGGGAGTCTGGCAGGGCCGTACGCCCAGGTTAGCCACGAAGGTGCAAAGCCCTTGCTTGGCTGTGTACTGGCTAGCGGCGGATTCCGTAGGGGGCAGGGGTATCGTGGTCCCGTTCCGTTTGTGAGTTTTGCCCACATGGCTCATCGACAGGCACTCGCCTCTCCTTCCATTCCTCCTCATGGCCCCAGCAGAACTCTTCTTACCACTTTTGCGATGTTCTCCGAATGGTCTGGTTTGGTTCAGGACAAGCAGACTGGCAAGTTTTACCCATTTGGGCTACGTACGTGGTTTTCTTCAGTAAGGAGTCAGGCATGCCTAAGACCAGGTCAGGGCGCAAAGATAACGATGAGTGACTCCTGGGGAGACAGTTTTTCATTTGTTGTCAATGAAGTTGCAGCAGCACCACAAACTTTTCCCATAAAAAGTGGCTTCTCTGAGGCGCTGCCAAATGCTGGAGAACCTAAAGTAATTCTCTGGTGTGGAGAAGCCTTGGTGCCCCACCTCAGCTGTATGGAAGCCCAGCCATCGATGGGGTTTTGGGGACTGTGTCAAGAGCTGATGCAAAAAAGTGGTAAAAGGAGTTGTGTTTGGTTTGTACTCTTGCTGTGTGTGTGTTGTCTGTATGTTTGTGCTATCTGTGTTTCACCCTTCTGTAGTCCTTCCAGAGGAAGGAGCGTTATCTGAATGAACTTGCTTCTTTGGGTTCAGGCTTGTCTTTTTTGGTTGCTTTGGTTTGATGCCGGCATTACCCCTGGCTTGCTGGTATCCCCAGCGGCTGTTAATTGGCTGTCTGGTACCCGAACCAGGAACATAAGGCATCATTCAGTGATACTGGAGAGTTGACAAATGGGAAGGTGTTGAGAGATGCTGAGGCAACAGGCCCACGCCGAAGCTCTCTGCAGAAGCCATTTCGCCTCTGACAGATCCAACACACACTATTAATTGGTCAGGGCCAGCCTTTGCCAAAAAAAGCCTGTGAAATGCTGGAGAGACGCTTCCGAATGTGTCCGCTCTTCGCGCTCCCCCTCACTCGAGGCAGTGACGAGCATTAATTAGTTCATTGTCGAAGTTCTGCCGCGTGTCTGTATGGGGACGAGCTGCCTTCAGCCGGCTCACCTCAACAGATGAACCACGCAGGCTTCCAGCATGTTCATCCCCTGATTATTCTATATTTGTGTCTGGAGAAGAAATAGCCCCTAGTTCAGTAAGGTCATGTGCCACGGGTCTTAAGCTTAGTTTATAACCGCAGGTAATTAAAATAGGAAAATATTATATATAAACACCGGTTTGAATGAAAATGTCAAAGCAGACATCTGTGCCCTAGTTCTCACCTGTTGTTTTAATTTTCAATATTCCCAGGTCCTAAATTTAATATCTTAAACCTGTTTAGTCATTGAAGGGAGAATGTCAGAGCTAACCCAAAGTCCCAACACTGAAAAGCACTTCATGACTAGACCCAAACCTTTGCACCACAGACACTGAGAGTGTAAAATGCAGTTATGGCCCAACCTGACACTCACTGAAGCCAACAGAAAACAATCAGTTTATCTGCTCGTAGATACGGAATACTAGATAAAGTTTCATTAAACGTGTTGCACCCCCTATCTGAGTATGCACTTACTTAAATTGCATTCCTGAACAATATACTTTGGTTTCTTTGTGAAAGATATAGGAAGATGACTTGTAATGGAACAACTTTTTTTATCATTACTTACAAATTTTGGGAGGGGATCATTACAAAATTAGTCAGTGTTACAGATACTAACCAATAAATATTAAATGAACCTGAAGTTGTCTTCTGATATGATTTAGTGTTAGCAATTAATTTTGCATTTTTAAAAAAGGGATGAAAGCAAGCATGAATAAGTTAATATAAAACATTACTGTTCAACCGCACTTCAAGGTTAGTACTTCACTGTATGTAATATTCATCGCAAAAACCTTGCTGGTGTTCCATACTAATGAGTAGGTAAGGCTGGGCTTTTTTATGTTTTCAGCTGGTTTCATCTGTTCAGTGGCTTTACAGAGCCCGAATAGGAACTCTGAGAGTCAGGAGAGCTGCCTTGTTTTCAGTGGAGCCCTTCTCTTTTACACCAACTGGGGATCTGTCCCATAGTTATTTAAAGCTGTGTTGGTAGACAGATAGCAAACTACGCTTGTGAAAGTTAATTAAACAGTAGAAGTCATAACAAGTGGCTCTTTTGTCTCCCATGAAAGCATAGGCAGCTGTATTGTTTCTGGCAGAGTAATTCTCTGTTGTACGTATTTATTTATTGATGATTTGGAAGAGGCTCTTTCACTGGGTAATGATGCTAATATTGATGGAAGAAAATATTACACTGATAAACAAGTGGCAAGTCCCAATTAGATATCTAAAAAGTAGAAACCACCGTGTAATTTCTAGTAATGATTTAAATAACAATCCTTTAGTATTTAAAACTATAGTACAAATGTCCTTAATTATGTCTAAAAATTCACGGCTTCATCATTTAAGGAGTAAAATTGGGCAGCACGTAGCTTTCCGCGTTCATCAGAGTAGTCCTGATTGGGGTATAAAGGTATGAGGTTTTGATTAAAAATTACAGTTTTGCTTCTTTCCCTTCAGTTCCAGATTACCAAGAGCAGGATATCTTTCTATGGAGGAAGGAAACTGGTTTTGGATTTAGGATTCTAGGTGGAAATGAGCCTGGAGAACCTGTGAGTATATCTAGAAGTGGTCATGTTTCAACTTGTGACATCTCCCAGAATAACAGCAGTCACATGCACAGACATGCAGAACCGTGCTGTAGCATCTGTATTAAAATAAATAGTGGGCTATGAATGTACATCCCCCAGCTCCTCCCCACCCTCCCTCCAAAAACTAAACCAAGACTCCTGTAATTAAAATGGGTTCTGTGATTCTGTGATCACCTATATGAAAACACAGATGTGAAATGGCCTGGACCCTGAGGATGTCCTGGTCAGGTTTGCAAGAAGTGTCAGGTTTTCTATTTGCTCAGTTCTCTCTTTGAGTTAACTTCTTTACCGTAAATCCAGTGCCTATGGAAGTGACCATTTCATGTGCTGCACGGGTCCAAGCTAAATGGTGGCGGCATGAATTTCCACGTATTTCCCTGCCAAAATTATTTCACTCGTTTATGCAAAAAGAGGCCATGAATACCTCTCGTGGTAGAGTTATTCCACAGAACTCACCGAAGATAAACCAAGACTGAGTTGGTGGACAGCAGAGTGCTACAGAGCTTGTAAACCCTACGGGCAACTGGAAGGATAACTCAATCTCAGCTTCCCTGACAGAACCCTCAGTGCTTTTAACCGTCTTCATCCCTGGTCACTGCCTGGTTGAAGACATTTCCCAAGGCTATCTGTCATTAGAGTGAACGGACCACCTAAAGAAACAAGTTGTCAATTTATTACAATTTCATGATGTGACTACATTCGCATGGAGCTGCTTTCACAGGAGCGACTTTCCTGACCAGCAGACATTTGTCAACAATTTCTTGTCCCTGCTAAACTGGATCCAGCTACCAATGCCCCTTGCTTCCAGCTGACTGTTGAGCTAGTTTTCATTTATCTCTGGGGTTTTTTTCCTGTCTTTCTCTCACTTTCTCTTTTTATTTCCTTCTTTCCTTTCTCCCGTTTGTGCAACTTCATCAGATTTACATCGGTCACATTGTACCGCTGGGTGCTGCTGATGCTGACGGCCGCCTGCGATCAGGTGATGAACTGATCTGCGTGGATGGGACGCCTGTTGTGGGGAAATCACACCAGCTTGTTGTCCAGCTTATGCAACAGGCAGCCAAGCAAGGTCATGTCAATTTGACCGTCAGACGCAAAGTGGTTTACACAGGTAGGCTGCAGCGTTGCTCTGCAGGAGTAAATTTTCTTGCCAGGCTCCATCTGTTCAGCAAATGGTTTAAAGGGGAAAAAAAAGCTCCTCCTTGTAATCCTGGGAAAACTCAGGGGATGTGGTGTTATTCTTCCTCTTTTGCCTATTTTTTGTTCTTGAGCAATTACTTTTCAAATATTTTGTTTCCAGTTAAGATTCTCTCCATCCCAGTTGGCTTTCTCAGCCTTCATGAAAGTTTCTGATAAAATGGGGAACTGTCCAGTTGCGACATAATTTTTTCGGTTTGACTTAGGTGGCAACAAACGCCAGCCTGATTTGAGTTCTCTATTCGTTTCCCAAATGGTCTAGATGGACAAAAAAGAAGCTGGCAGAAAGGCAAAGATGCAGCGAGAAGTGACCCTTCATGGTGGCACCCGGATTAGTGACAGAAAAATGTCCTGATAGCAGAGAGAGGAGCGTGAGCTTTCTAAATGACATGCCACCTTATGCTTAATGTTAGAGAGTAACATTGGGGTGTGGCCTCTTCTTGTGAGGCCCTTTAGGGAGCTCAAGTGTGGGGTTTGGTTTAGCTCACTTATTGAAAAGAGTAGAAGATAATATATAGCTTTTCAAGTTTAGGTGTCGACAGAAAAATAGGCAGTGTTATACTTTCATCTTAAAGAGCATCAAAATAACATTTAGATTGAAAATTAGGCCCGCAGTAGAAGTTAGGACTAGAACAGTACCTCTAAAATAGCTTTGTATTCATATCCAGGGCTGAATTCCTTCCACACAATATGAAATGCGTGTTTGCTTCTCATTTCTTTCCTTCTTCCCGTTGTGGATTAAATGCCACGTTATATCTCTCCACTAATAGCTTCTCTCTCCTTGCTGACAAAGGACTGCCAGTGTGAGAGGAGCTTTAGGAGATGAGCTTTGAGAGGAAAGGGAAGGGCAGCTGAATTTTGGTATTGTTTTTGTGCATAGATTTTTTATCGAATTTTACAGCCTCTAGGCTGGAAATGGCTATAAAAGATTTAGATGCGTGAGAAATCTCTTGATATTTGACTCAGGGGCTTGTTACTCCAGACTGAGCTATTTCTGAATCATTTCAAATGTGGACACTTACTCTAGGATAAATTATTCAGGATCCCTTCTTGCACCTTATATTTGCAGGCTTTTAAATTCTGGCATAACTCTGTAGAGCAGCTTCTTGCTGAATTTTAGTCCCTTATTCTTCCTGTCTTGAGATTCATACGGGGAAAGGTTTATATTCCTGTATTCTTACCATATAGAATACAATATATTTAGTACGTAGTTCGAGTATGCATGTGCAGACAGATACTTCTGTCCAAGAATATTTTAAAGTTCTTTTTCTTTGGATCGTGGGTTTACAGGTTTAGATTTTGTTCAGCATCCATTTTTTTGTTGTTGTTGCTTTTAAGATCTTCAACTTAATTTTGCTTCACCCAATTGGACAAGTGACCTGATTAGTGGAGGCAGCCATTCAGTAGAGACAAGTACAATACGCTGCTCTCAGCGGTGCAAATGGACTGTGGAGAACTGGCTGAGTAACAAGAAGTGAAAGCTGTTGTGGGCCACAAGCTGTAACCTGAGGTTGGCTCAGGTGAAGAAAAACACTGTGCTGGGATGTAGGCAGGGGGGAATTCTCCTGATTTCCCAGCAGACGATGGCTTAGCTGCAATATGGTCCAGCACTTCAAGAAAGACATGTTTGAGTTGGAATGAGCCCAACTGGAGGGAGTCCAGGGGACCAGTGAGAATAAGGAGAGCTCTAGAAAACATGCTCTGCAATGAAATATTGAACAAATTGGGATTGTTTAGCCTAAAGCAGAGAAGGGGGAGGAGGTGTTAAACTCCCCAAGACTATAAGAGGCTGCTGCAAACAGGAAGGGAATAATATATTCTCCATATGCCTGCTAGATAGAACTAGAAATAATAGCCTTATGTTGCAGCAGGGAAGATTTAAGTTAGATATTGCAACCAATAGATTGCCTGGAGAGATATTTAACAGCTGATTAGACAAACATCTGTCAGGGCTGCCAGGAAGTATAGTTGGTCCTGACTCGAGCAGAATGTGGACTAGGCGATTTTTTTCCCATTTCTTCAAGCCTTGTGGTAGCTGATTAGATTTTAAACTTACACCGTTTCTAACTTGACTTGCTGTTAAAACACTTGTTTATTATTAATAACATTCAATGTTTTCCCCCCACAGCTGTGCCAGATGATAGTCGCTGGTTCTTCCATCCAGAAAAGCTTGGTTCACAAGTTGCTTTGCTTTAGTCTGGGTGGTTATTATTGCTTGAGATCACATTAATCAAAGGCAATCAGTGCGACCCAACCGATAGCAATGAATAATAAAGTACACAGGTGTTGAGTGAAGGTTATTTGATATTATTTTCTCTCTCCTCCTGGCTTGTGCACATATAAATGGTTGCACATAGATAACTGACGTGGGGATGTGATACCAAAAGTAGGCACCTCTGGACTGATGTAATCCAAGTTTAAAATGCCACAGAGCATCCAAGTGCACAGCACTGCACTGGTTTCACCATACTGCTGCTGCAGTTTAGCAGCAAACGCCTTGGGCTGCATGACCATACACTGCAGAGGATGAGCAAGTGTGGTCAGTGCCATCACCGAACAGAGAAGTTGGTGGTGACATCCAAAAAGAGAGAGAGAGCCCTTGGTCATTATTGCCATGATTTATAGATTAAAACAAGTAATTTTCCTTTTTTTTTTTTTTTAATTCTTTCTTCTTTTTTTTTAACCTTCTTCTCATCGTGATCTCATCATGCTCTACAGTTACTTGAAAGGACATTGTAGAGAGGTTGGTGCTGGTCTCTTCTCACAGGTCATTAGGGACAGAACCAGGGGGAATGGTTGCAAGTCGAAACAGGGCAGGTTTAGGCTGGACATTAGGAAGAAATTCTGCATGGAAAGAGTGGTCAGACACTGGAACAGACTGCCTAGGGAGGGGGTTGAGTCGCCATCCCTGGATGTGTTCAAGTGTCGTTTAGATGTGGTGTTGGGTGAGATGGTTTAGGGGTGACCTTGTAGTGTAGGGTCAATGGTTGAACTTGATGATCCCAAGAGTCTTTTCCAACCTGAATTGTTCTGTGATTCTGTGATTCAGCGGACAGCACTTTTCAAGCACTAAACGGGGCAGCCTGCTCAGTCTTTATTACTATTATTATTTTTATTATTTCTTTTTTTTTAATTCCCTCTCAGTTCCCAAGGCAGAGAATGAAGTCCCATCCCCAGCCTCTTCCCACCACAGCAGCAACCAGCCAGCCTCGCTGACGGAGGAGAAGCGAACGCCGCAGGGCAGCCAGAACTCCCTC